CAGAACATTTTTTTGCGCTTCGAACGTATAAGAATCGAACGTTAATCTCCAGAGTAGCATTACAGAGCAATATACCGAGATGAAGAGCTGTCTCTTATACACATCTAGATGTGTATAAGAGACAGGTTTTAATCGATGTTTTGTATCTTGGATGGAGTGGAATGCAGCCGGCCGGGGGCCACACGTTTTTTAAAATTAAAAGAAAATATAGGCCAACGTTATTTTCAAAGCGTCGTATTTAGAGTGCTAGGTTATGTAGTTTAGACGAACTGGGCGTAGGCCCCAGAAAGCGCACAGACGTTACACAACCTTCATTCAGCTCCATAGTAAAATGCTAGGTCGCAGTAGGAGGGGCCCAGGGCCCATAGACTGATACTGGCTCAAAAGCACACGTGTTTCGCCACTGTTAAGGTAGTAAAGTGCTTGGTAGTAGTAGGAAGGCCCTTTTTTTTCGAGAGCTCATGGGCGTTACGCCGCCCATTGGACGTAGACTAGCTCGTCCGTACATCAACTCCCTTCTTCACTAGGGTCACTTCGTGTCTGAGCGACCCAGGGAAACCGGCACGTTGTCGTGTCTCATTTGGAAAAAATACGTTACGTTGAACCCATAGCTTGTACAGTTTACCAACTCCATTCACGCTATCTAAGTGCTTTAACAAATGAGGAATCTGTGATGAAATCCATGTTTGCGTGCATACCATACAGTTTAACAGCCCAATATAGCGAATAACTCTTTAGGAGTTTTTTTTTTTTTTTGTTTTTTTTTTGTTTTTTGCCGGCCTTGTACAACCTTACATAAGTTTCTCTTTCTAATTTTTAATAACTTACTAAGACTTGGAAGGTAAGAAATTCTAATATTTAATTCTTTTTTTTTTCTCAATATTTTTTAGCTCAAAACAGGCAATATATCTGAAGTAAAACATGTTAAATAAAATAGGGAAACTATAGATAGAAAAGACATAGATGGAATTATGTCTACGGGATCATTGGATTTTGGTTTGGTATAACGCATGCTAACAATACAAATATACAATACATTTTTATATAGGTACTAGACCTATGCCCGTAGCAAATGCATAATGTTTTATGCAAAATGCAAAGTGCAGCATTGCAAAAAATAAAAAAAACCTTTTAATCAAAATATGGAAGATATTTTGAATATCGTCATGTCAGCTAACATTAATGCATTTAATAGAGCCTAAACTACTTATACAGTATTAACCTTGTATAAAAAAAAGTATGTTAGTCCCTATTACTATTGCACAAATTCTTACCAATAAAGTTACATTATTCTTTAATTAAGAAAAGTGAAATTTTTTTGAAGGATCAGCAAATAACTAAACTGATTAAAATAAAGAAATATTATAAATATTAGTTGCTTTAGATATTTTAATATTTATATTACTGTAGTTAAAACGAAGTTGTTGTTATTAATCCACACACTTTGACGGGAACACCTTGCATACAATAAAAGAATAATCGAATATCTGGACTGAGTAAACTATAGAAATATTATAAATATTAATTGTTTTAGATAGTTGAATATTAATATTAGTTCTAGGCGAAGTGTAAATTGTTATTATTTAGGGGGATTTCTCAACCTTACAAAAACGATAACAAATACGAATACGTCATTATCATTATCGTCATTCGTGCCTGAAACATTCTTGACAATATGCTGTACGAGCTGAATATGATGCTTGATTCATGCAAAAGGCATGAATCACATACGTTGTGGCAGATAATGTTTGTTATGGGAACGGTTGTCTAAAAAATTGATGACGTAATCGTAGCCTATTTGTTATTGTTTTCGTAAGCAATTGCGAAATCTACCTATTAACCCTCACACTTGGACAGAAACTTCTTGCACAGTGGTGGCGCCAGGTTTTGCCGGCGGGGGTCCGGGGTCCCGACGTAGGGAGGGGAGGGGAGTGAGCGATGTCCCCAACGGAAAACGTGGGCGTGGCCAGGCGTCGCTTAAATTTCACGAAAGCGTTCCAGGTGGCGAAGACATCGAAAAATATGATTTATGGGTTTCAGTTTATGAGTTTCAAAGGCTTATGTAATCGATTTTGGAGCCTACTAATAATTTAGAAGATACATAGGCCTATACATTTTTTTTTCTCCCCGACGAATTGAGGTGGGGGGCTGGGTGTGGTGTTGATCTGAATAACCCTACAGTAATACATAGCGCACCATCATTCGGAAGAGACATTTTACCGTATGCAATATGGCCCCTGTGCAGAATTAAAAAAAATTGTCCTCCCGTGTATTACCCAACTCATCTCCGACGACCCTAAATTCTTCCTTCATTTGTTATCTTTGATGTGCTTCACACCCAAGTTCATACCAGCGTTTTTAAGGTATTCGCTTCGACCGTTAATGTTAAATATTTGCATCGACTGTTAATAGTTCGAGACGGGGTCGTGAGTCGCTGTCAACCATCTCCGGTTGGACTGGGACCTCTTGCAGATCTTCTAGATCATCCAGTTCTTCGTCGTCTTTCCTCTCTGGAGGCTTGATTTCTTGGGACAACCTGGAAAAGTCTCTGTTTGAGCAACATCTGCACGTGTACCGACACGATAACCAACACAGGAGGGCGAACACAACCGATATGGTTTTCAAACCGACTGAAAGTCCGAGGTAGTTCGCTTGGAACTGAGACTTCTCGTATTCGAAGCAAGAGCCAACACCTTCACACAGCGTCTGCCATAGCATACACGATGAGTCGATGGTCTTACCGAAATATATCGGTGCTGGAATGTACGCTGTAAGAAAACACAGTCAATGTGAATTTTATAAAATAATCATACTGGTAATAACCTACCTTTAATCCCAATTCCTGGTGTGAACTAAATTTATTATGTTATACAATTAGAATGATAACAGATCAATTCATTGATTTGTTTGATTGATTGATTAATTGATTGACTGATGATTAATATTCATCAATCATATTATTTTTTGATTGATGAAGTAATTTATTCATTTATTAATCAATTTACATCCAACAGCATGTCCTTACGAGATGCTCAATGTAAAATGCACTTATTTTTAGCTCAACTCCATAGTCTGCACCATTATCGTCATAATCATCATCATCGCTGTCGTACTCATTATCAGTCTCATCGCCCCAATCTACTTCACCGTTATTCTAATCATCGCCAGCATTATCATCATGATTATCATCAACATCTTGTTTGACATTATTATCACCACTATTATCATCGTCATCGTCGTCACAGTCATTGTCATCGTCGTCATCACTACCACCATCAACACCACCACCACCATTAACATCATCATCATCATCATCATCATCATCATCATCATCATCATCATCATCATCATCTCTTATTATTATTATTATTACTTTTACTACTACTATTATTATTATTATTATTATTATTATTATTATTATTATTATTATTACACAATGAATTACCATTGAAATTGATTATTTCAATGGTAATGATAAATTACAATAAATGTTTGAAAAGAGTTTTGCGATCATTCCATATTGATGTATTTGATATTTTTAGATAGAACAGCATGGGAGAAACGATCAAATTTCAAAAACTCTCAATAGAATATGTTGTTGCTTGTACCTTCCCTATTTAAATGAGGTAGTATGTGTAATGATATACGGTCTGTTTTTCATGGAACATGTTAAATTTATCTTTTATGTGCTGCTTTACATTTTTTAATTTTGTGCAGGTAATATTACTGTTATACAGATGAAATGTATACATAATAATACGTCAGTAAATATTTCATTAATTATGCATACATTTCAGGTAATGGAATTGATTATGAATAACACGGCTCTACGAGGTTAATACAGC